GTTGTGTTGAAGCAGAAGCCCAAAGGATGCAGAGGAGAGCATTACAGAGTCCTTTGTGAGGCTTACAAGTTCCATTCATGCCATTCATTCCCCAGTGGCGCTTTCCTTTCTCCTGCTGGACATGCCATTACTGACCATTGTTCGTCTGTATGGTGGATTCAGCTTCATCCACTGTAAATCTGAGCTTCTCCTTTTATGCAGTTTCTTACACGGACAGATGATGCATATCTTGGTTCCCAGGGGGGATGTGGGGGGTTTAAGCACTTTATGTCCATAGATATTTGATGCCTGTATTGTAGTGATACCTGGATGCTGCAAAGGTTTGCTGTCCAACATACTGGTGAGATGCTGCTTTTAACCACCCGTGCACATCGGACTCCCCAGAAGCGTGCAGCCTACAGCTGCCTTTCTCAGGATAACCTAGTGCAGTACAGCTTGAGGCAGAGGAAATCTGCAAAGGGCATAGGATTTTCTATTCCCAGGGCAGAGAGACTGAAGGCATAAATATTTATTAGCAGTAGCAATGTTCTTGCCTGAGAGTCTTGGATGACAACATGGGAATGATAGAAACTGCTCAGTGACCTGAATGTACCCCCTGTACTGGGGGTGCATGCGGTTTCTCACTTGTTTTCCTGCACACTAAGTCAGTCTCCCATGCACAGAACATCTATCAGTTTTCTCCAAACTCAATATTTGATGTAGAAAAGAAGCAAAATGCTTGGGCTTGTCCTTTCTTGTTAGCATTTGTTTGCAGCAAGTGAATCCACATGGGCAGCTTCAGAAAGCAGAAGTCTGCTGAGCTGCAAGCACTCACTGTAGGCTGTCACACGTTGGTACTGAGAGTACCAGCATCTCTAAGTTAGAAGACAGCAAGCACATCATTGCTTGATAGCGGAGAGAGACAAAGGTAGCTGGATGGTATTCCTGAGCAGTCAGCTCATACTGTTTCAGTTGGTGATCAGAGCAAAATCTCTGAACTATGGAGAGAAGTGGCAAGTAAAGCCCTGTATATTGTGTCTTTCCTCAGAATTAGGGGGTAAGGGCAATTGTGCCCTTCTGGTTTTTATCAAACAGCAGAGCTGCTTTAATGATCATTGAATTTCCCACAGACAGCAAAGTGGAGAACATTTTCTTAGGGCTGTAACAGTGACTGATTTTTCCACTTGGCAAGAGTGGGCTGGTACAGACATCTCAGTTTGCAATTACAGAATCATAGAATAGAATAGTCAGGGTTGGAAAGGACCTCAAGCTCACCCAGCTCCAACCCCCCTGCCATGGGCAGGGACCCCTCACACTAAACCATGTCATCCAGGGCTTTGTCCAGCCTGGCCTTGAACACCGCCAGGATGTTTCTAAGGGAGCTGAAGCTCTCAGAAACTGTGTGTGTGTCCATTCTCTTCCACATGCACTGGGGTCCCAGAGGACAGATGGAAAGAAGAGGTTTGTTAAGCTACTGTCCAGTGTGGGCTATTGGGAGAGGTAGGTGACAAGAGTAAAAAGGCTACTGACCTGTTGCATTAAGGCAGATGTTGTGTTTTTTGCTAAGTACTGCAAAAACAGAAGGAGGGATTTTAAAAAGGAGGAAGAATAAAAAGCCTGCTGTGTGTCATCCTCCTTAAACTCCTGATTTTGGTTTGAAGTGTTTTCAGCTTCTCTCTGTGCTCCTGTACATTGAGGATTCACAGCACTCATGCTCCATAAAGGTTCACTGCAATTAATTTCTGTTGTTCAGAAACAGCACATGGTACACACAGAGTAGGACGTGGCCGTACTTAGCAGGAGAGCAGTTTTTGAGGTCCATTTTGTCAAACCTAGAGAAAAAAACAAACTAGTAAGGAACCACCCCACCGTTTGAATGCTGTAGTTGTGCATACCCAATCAAGCTGTGAGCATGCGGGATGTGGGGAGAAAACTTTGGTTAAACGCTGGTTCCAGCCAAATATTCATAAAGTGGCCTCATTTAATGTATTTTTCCCCCTAGGAATGAAATTACAAGGAGGCCTCAGGAACAAAAAAGTCCCTTGAAAATATTAAATTTCCATCACCATTTAGAACCCCTGCAGCTACATCTCAGCACTTGCCTTTTGATTGGGAGTGTACCCCCAGCAAGCAGAGAAAAATCACATTGTCTGGCCTGGGACTGGTCTCACCACGTAGCTGAGATTTTGATGTCGGGGTCAGTGCTGAATGCATCAGCCTGGAGAGGCTTGTAAAAAATGACAAAATCACCAAGTGAATTGCGGTAGCGAAAGCCTGCGGTGAGTCTCGGTGTGCTCACAGGCATTCACAAGCAAGAGGCTAATTAGTCAAGTAAACATTTCTCTGAGTGGATGAGATATAGAGAAAGAACCCGTTCAGTATGCACAGAAGAAAAGCGTGTTCGTGCAAAGAGGCAGCTCCAGCCGAGCTGCGTGGGAATGCTGTCATTCTCGCAGCCAGGGTTGTTACTATGGAGTCTTGTGCATTGCTGCAGAACATATATGAAGTGATGGATGGGAAATACGACAGTGCCTTGGCACTCCTGGGATGGGGATGAATACCCACTGGCACTGGGGATGCTGTCTCTGGCCCAGCTTGGTTTCCTTTTCAATACATTTTGCTCTCAGGAGAGAGCAGTCTTGCCTGTGTATGCAGTGGTGGTCACCCAGAAGCTGCTGGTGCTTTGTTATCCCTCTGTGCAAGCCATGGGTCTGCTGTGTGGCCATAACATGTTGCCCTGCAGGTCTGCTGTAGAGATGCCATGCTGCTAGGGCAGAAAAGTGTTGTTCCAAACCTTGGAGATGAATTCCTGGTATGGACTGGCATTATTATGGACTCTGCTGCTGTGTCCTTCATCTGCCCCATGTCGGAAGCAGGGATGCAGTCTCCACCAGTTGCGAGGCCTCCTCTATAGGCAGTGGAGAGAGGGAGACACATCTCCAAGGGTGGATTCTTCTCCTTTTAAGATGAGTGTTAAGACATGATGGAATGAATTGCTCCTTGAAAATCATCTTTGTTTTTTTTCTGGAGTTCTAAGGATCGTTTCCTATTTGTTTGGTCTAGAGCCTAGCTTTGAGACTGCTCCAGCTGAGTCCTCTGGTCCAGGACCAGAGTCCGAATCATCACAGGCACCTCAAAATATTTCTCCTCTCACTCTGTTCATGCAGATGGATGTCTGATCTCACTGGCAGGTCACCCACAAGGAAAAGCTACTGTCAGCACATCAGCTGCTGAGAAAAGTAAGGTCTGGTTTTGATTTAAAGAGTTCAAACATGATTCTAACAACGTGAATCTTTGGTAGTCTGGGTGGCCAGGCTCCTTCTCTGCCATGTGAACTGCTGGTTGTGAGCTCACTTGGCTCTGTGCTGTACTGCACCATCATAGGAGGCAGTATATGGCCATCACACCATGTCCTTAACTGTAATAACTCCCATGCCTTCCTGCCGCCAGCAGATTAGGGCTCCAAGGACTTGTTTGTGTTCAGTAGCACTAAGGGAGCATCCAGCTCTTGGAGTCATGTTCCTTAAAAATGGCTATATCCTGTCTTTTCCCAGACTGTTGGATGTAAGATTCTCATCCAGGAAGCCTGCACTCAGGTGGTGCCACTTATCATCTTCCACATTCCTCTTGGAGAGTTTCTAGCATGCCTGGGAAACAGACATGCCCTTTACATTATCTGGCTATTCCCATGAATATCCTTTCCTAGGGCCTGGATTCTGATCTAGCTCCTACATCTGAGTGTGTTTGAGACCGATCCTGTACTTAGAGGATACCACAAGAACTGGCCTTTGGCTGAGATATATCATAGAATAGATTCTAACACAAAAAGTAAGGATGGCTGTTTCAAGTCATATGAAAGGTCTCGGCTACCCCTATATCATATCCCCAAGAGTACAAGAACATCATGAACCTGTGGTGGTGCCTCCCTAGTTCTCACCCTCTGTAGATCTGTGCCTATTACCTGATGGAACCTGTCATCGAGGATCTCTTCCTTGAGTGATACTAGCTAGCTACAGCTCATAATTTTAATTTATAAAGTTGGGATTGTTGTTCTTTGGTGCACCACTTCATTTTTGGCTTCATTTAATTTCAGCTGCTGTGTTTTTGCCATTCAGCTGCTGTTCAGTGTGGCAAATCCAAATTTGCATACAAATATAGGTGTATGTATATGCATGCATGTCCAATTTAGTGGAGGAAAAAAGTGAACATGGTTGAAAACATTTTTAATTGTGATGGTGCTGAGTAGAGAGAGTTCCAACAGGTGTGAAGTTTGCTTGAAAGGACTTTAAATATTCTTAGATACTGGTAGAAGTGCTTGAATTGGTAGTTTGTCCCTCTCTGAACCCTTTGGCGTGCGGTAGCAGAGACTAGGTTGTATGCAAGTAGGCATAACGGGGAGCTTTGGGTTTTGGGAGCATTTTAGTGACAAAGAAGGATGCTGTGCTGCTGAGAGATAACTGAAATTAAATCTCCCCAGTTAGCCATGAAAAGTGATTCAGTATTGGAAATACGTGCATCTTTATTCTTCTCCCAAGGGGACCAGAGATTGAATTCTCCCACTCATTCAGTCCTCATTCCTTCTGAGCTGGACTTTCACAAAGAGCTGGTCACAAACTTTTTAGTTTTAATCATGAGGTTGACTGGTCCACCTGGGACTCGGCTGAAACTGTAAATGCATGTCATGCAACACCCCAGAGTCATCACGTGAAAATGGTTTGGGACGGTTGCCAACCCAGGCTGAATTTGAACTGGTGACCCACCCTCCACATTATATTCCCAGTATCATCCATCATGTAAGTCTGATGTTGAAATCTGGCTTTTCCAGAGGTACTTTTAGCATACTAAATGTGCTTCCAAAGTCCTGTGGTTTGCCTCTGGGTTTCAGCCATTCAAAACACTGGCATGTTCTTTGTTCATTCTGAATGCGGGTGGGGATGGACTTGCCTAACAGCAAGTTAGAGAAGAGACTGCATAACTTTTAGCTAAACCATTCTGTTTTGTTTCCTTTTGTCTTTCAACAGGATCCAACAGCTGCATCTATTTCGGACAGAGATTGTGATACGAGGGAGGGAGAGACTGTAGCCATGAACTATAAGCCGTCCCCACTTCAAGTGAAATTAGGTGAGTCTGCTGATGGAAAGTGAAAAGGCTGAATCCAAGGTCTGAAATACAATGAGGTACTCATGGGATCGTATGCAGATCTCCACATATGTGGCTGAGCAAGCCAGCTTGGATCAAACAACTCTCAGAGCAGTTTTATCATTGCGATTCTGCTGCTAAGGGAACTGACCTACAAACATGTAAGGACCCTGTACCTTGGGCTGTGGTAGAGGAAGAAAGCTATTCCTTGAAAGGAAGACATAGTTTTTTTAACCCACAGATTTTTATCAAGCTAAGATCAAGGCTTGGCCAGATAAAGAATGTAGATAATATAGAGGGACTGTAAAAAAGGAGAGAAGACAGAATAACTGCAAACAAAAGGGAAGGCATCAGAGACTTGGGCCACTATCAGAAAAAGATAGAGCTGTGTTACTATGAGATGGAGGACTTGTAGGTCTGTAAAGGTTCACATACCTCATTCTACTTCTGAGCAGTATTTTTTAAGTCCTGGAAGCAGAATCATCCAGTGAGCACAATACACTGCTTCCTTGCAAGGCTAACGCTTACAGGAGGACAGCAGTCCATACATGGCTGTTCTGCCTCCAAAACCTGGGCCACTATTTTGCCACAGAGCCTCAAGAACCTGATGAAGGAACAGTGTGCTTTTTGCTTAGAATGTGGATATAAAATAGAATCTTAAATCTGAAAAATTTTGCAGTGGGATCAGGAAGCAGTCCCCTGGTTGTCCTTCACATCAGTACAAATGACATTGAGAGGATGCTGCTGGAGCTTATTGAGGGTGACTGTGCCATGTTGGGAAGGCTTTGAAAGAAGTGGCTGCTTCTCAGGAAAAGGCAGGGAGCAGCACTATGTGTTATTGACAGCACCAGTCACAGTTTGGTTAAGGATTGTCACTGCCAGCATACCGTATGCCACCAGGATCCTTTTTTACTGCCAAGAGAGTTCTGTAATGTTCTTAGAATGATAATTACTACTGCAATAGTTGTTTTAGGTAATTTAACATCAAGAATCAAGTTGGAGAGCAATTGATTCTATTATTGGTAAGTCTGAGATAGTCTTGCATTTGTAGGCAGTAAAAATACCCTCCAGAGATTTGCTGACATGACTTGGCTTTAGTGATGAGGACATTATAGGTGATCTGATCATGGGAAATAGATTTGGATTCAGAGTTAACAAGTTCAACCATGCAAATTAAATGAAAAAGTAATTTGAGGTAGATCTCTTAAGTGTTTAAGCAAAGCCAGTAGTTTGAGAAACCCAGGAACTTAAAACACATCAGATTATGTTTTTTGAGAGGGAGAAATTATCAGATGAAAGGACATTGCTAATGGAGTGTTTATTAATGACTTTGACATAAAATGCATGAATCTGCAAAGAAAATTTAGTCATAGCATATTTGGGAGACAAAAGTACAACAAAGACTATGAAATACCACAGAGGAAACATGAAAACTGGAATAATAGAAATGAGAAAAATATGACAGTCTGATGTAAACTGGAATTTAGCAACTGGAGGTGACTAAGAGGAAGCCTGTTACATTAGCTGAATGCAAGACAACTGATTATTACAATGGCCTAATACATGAAAATATGCCACAGTTACATAGCTTACCATATTTTTCCCAAGATCAAATACAACGGAATGATTAGTCTTTCTTCCAGAACTTCTGCTTTTCCACACAGGGAAGATTTTATTTCACTTATCCACTGCTGAATGCTGCTATTCATCAATAGAGAGGTAAAAGGAGGTATTGGAAGAGTCTGAACACTTTTTGCTGTAGATAGAGGTGTAGTATTGCCAGGACCTCATTTCCAGCTAGTGATCCTGCCTGGTTTACCCTCAATGCAGACCACTATATACTCATAGAATCATAGAATAGTTAGGGTTGGAAAGGACCTTAAGATCACCCACTTCCAACCCCCCTGCCATGGGCAGGGGCACCTCACACTAAACCATGTCACCCAAGGCTCTGTCCAACCTGGCCTTGAAGACCACCAGGGGTGGAGCATTCACAACTTCCCTGGGCAACCCATTTCAGTGCCTCAGCACCCTTACAGTAAAGAACTTCTTCCATATATCCAATCTAAACTTCCCCTGTTTAAGTCTTAACCCGTTACCCCTTGTCCTGTCACTACAGTCCCTAGTGACAAGTCCCTCTCCAGCATCCTTGTAGTCCCCCTTCAGACACTGGAAGGCTTCTCTGAGGTCTCCACACAGCCTTCTCTTCTCCAGGCTTCTCATGAAGGTAATAGTGGGAGAAACCTACATGGTTAAGAGGAATTGTCTTGCAAGGCTGCCAAATATCATCTTGTCTTGTCTCCAGAGAGAAATCTGCTCAAACATCTCCCTCTCTGCCTGTGGAGACAGCATGTCTCTATAATTAGGTGAACACATATCTAGTAGCATTTGGACTGACACTCTACTCTTAGCCGTACTCAGATAAACTCTGAATTACCTGTGGCAAAATGAGACTGACGGTATTGTCGGTAGCCAGTGTAGCGTGCTTTTAATCCACATCAGCTCTTGCTGCTGTTATTCTTAAAATCTGCCCAGCCTTTACAATTTGCGAGCAGTTTAATGGCTCACATCTCCTAGCTCTGGCCCCTGTTCCTCCAACTAGACTTTTTTGTCTCTTCTGCATTAAACTTCTCAGGATTTGGGTTGGTTTTTTAATCTCTTTAAAGCTAGAAAAAGTTAAAATAATACATAAATGTTTGATAGCTTAACTGGCGGAGCCATTGTTTGGGATGGTAGCAACTAGGGTTTTAATCCTATTGTGGATTTTCCATATGGGTAGTGGCATTTTTCACTGTTAAATCAGAATCAATTGTTCAAATGTCAAATGCTCGGATGGAAGGTTGATAAATGTCATTTTTCAGTCCATGAAGATTCATATAGAAATCTGTCACATGTGCTTGCTGGAAGCTTGGTTCAAGTGAGCTCAGTTAAATACCAACCCAGCATGAATACAGCTTTTGCTTCCAGAGGCTGCAGTGATTGAAGTGTGACAGAAGGAATTTCCTGTGCTGCATGCATGGAACACAGATTCATCCTACTGCTCGAATGGTCTTTTCCTCTGTTGTTTCTCCCCCTCTGAATAAATACATTTGGCCATGTGTTTGCTTTGGGGGTCAGTTAGATACAAGAAAAACTTTGCAGGTGACATAGTTCTAGTGAATTCCTAAGGATTACACCTGGGTTATAAATGAACCAGTAAAACATTCAGCTTGCTGCTGGGAACACAACAAAAAAGAGGAAAGCTTCACACTAAGTGGAAATAACATCTCCCAGTTCGTGTAGTTTATCATCCTAAACCTTTATTGATATTATGTCCATATTAATTATGTATTTCTTACTTTTCTAACACTCCCATTTCATCTTTCTGTCAGGAACTGCTTCTTTCTGTCTTTAAAATCACTTGATAAGGAGGGTCCTGGCACAGGCGAGAGAAGGAGGGAAGTCTGGGTATACATTAGTGCTTAGTGTGGATGTCTCCAGCACATCCTTATTAGGAGGCATGTCCAGATGGAGCATATACCACAAGCTTTGTGAAAACAGAAGAGAGTTGTGATAAGGCGAGATGTAGGAACAGAATAATCCCCAAGTGTAAGTCTCAGGGGCACCATATCCACCAGAAAGCAATGGATCCTCCTGGGATCCCCAGGAGATGAGATATTATTTTAATGAAGCTTATGCCATCTGTTTTTCTATTTTGCATTTTTAATTTCTCTTCCCTGTGCTGAAATCCCCATGCAGACTGTCTGTCTGTCTTATCCAGCAATCAGTGACGTTACAGATTATGTTAAAACAGAATGGGCAATGTGCCAATTGGTTGGAGTGCTGCAGAACAAGCTACGGTGGCGATGAGGGTTTGTGGCAGTGGCATTTTCATCACACCAGGAACTTGGCTGTAAACCCTAACTACCGTTTTGTTCCCCTCCAAGCTTAGATCTCATGCTGGTACTTAGCTTGCCAAAAATACCAGAAAACACAGTGGCTGATTCTGGTCAACCCCATAAGGAGAAGCAAGTGTCATAAAGTTGCTTTTAGTGTCAGCTGCTGTGGATCAAGTATATATAATCAATCCACCAGCCTAACCAGGAAGTTTCCTTGCTTCAAGAGGCAGGAAGCTATTGTAACACTAACAGAGGAGAGCTATTTCACTAATTAATAGGGGTATGAACACATTCCTACTGCCAGCTGCATTGTAGGATGTTGCTTTTTTTCTCTAGGAGACATGGTGCAGGTCAGCCACAGCCCAACTACTACTGGAAGGAAATTCTATTCACCAGGAGCCTCAACCTGTTGCAGGGGTGAGCGTAAAAGCCTCTTGAGTCACCCCAGTCTGGCCTTTTGGCTTTTTGTATAGCAAGAAGGGGATGAGAGCAAGTTAGTGGCCATGGTAGTGTCTGAGCCAAGCAGATGGCTCAGGGAGAGGTGAAGGAAGTCTTGTTATTCACTTAATCTCTTCTGCATCCAACCTGTAGCTGTGCCTGGGATTGCTCCGACCCAGGTGTAGGACCTTGCACTTGGCATGGTTAAACTTCATGAGGTTGGCATCAGCCCACCTCACAAGTGTGTCAAGGTCCCTCTGGATGGCATTCCTTCCCTCCAGGGTATCAACCGAACCACACAGCTTGGTGTCATCGGCAAACTTGCTGAGGGCGCACTCAATCCCACTGTCCATGTCAGCGACAAAGATGTTGAACAAGACCGGTCCCAACACCGATCCCTGGGGGACACCACTCATTACTGGTCTCCAGCTGGACATTGAGCCATTGACCACAACTCTTTGTGTGTGGCCATCCAGCCAGTTCTTTATCCACTGAGTGGTCCATCCATCAAATTGATGTCGCTCCAGTTTAGAGAGAAGGATGCCGTGTGGGACAGTGTAGAGCACTTTGTGCAAGTCCAGGTCGATTGACATCAACTTCTCTGCCCTGTCCATCACTTCTATAGCTCCGTCATAGAAGGCCACCAGATTGGTCAGGAAATGTAGC